TGAATCTAAATGCGTACCTTTCAAGCCCAGGAGGATTTGTTTCTTTGCAAGAATTTGAAGTCCTTTCTCACTCGTGACCAATCCGCTTATGCCATAGGTTAGATGAGTCTTTTTCTGTAACATTCAGCTGCCCCTTGCATAACTGAACTTTCATTCTGTTAAGAGTACAAAATCTTCGCCCCTTTGCCACTACAAGAGATCCTTTGGTGAGCTTCCATTTTCCTTTTCCAAAATTGTTGTTGTAGCCTTCATCTAATTTTCCTATAGAAATTAGGCTGAAGTGAAGATCTGGTGCGTGCCTCACATCCTTGAGAACCAATTTACAACCAACATTGGTCTCTATTTGTACATCACCTAACCCCACAAATTTTGCTCTAATACCACTTGTTGGGCCTTAAGGGGGGGTTACGGACCATGAGGAATTTTCAAAACTAGGGGCTTCATACACATACACATGCATAAGACTTGTACACAAGAGATGGCCACCACTTACAATCCAAAAGCCTAAGCTATTGGGTCATGGGCCACTCTTGTATATAAGTCCCTTGCACTTGTTGTATCTTTCCATTGTGGGACTCTCTTTCATTCCCCATTCCATACACCTACTCACATGTGCATCCCAACACATAGGACAATAGCGCAATGGAGGAGGATGGACTATGCATGGAGGGTTCAAACGTGTCGCTCTCAAGAAAGCCATTTTGGTAGAGGCCAATCTGCATGGGGATCTGGACAAAAACAAGAAGCAACTTCAAACCATATTGGCTTCTTGATTGGACAGTGAAGGAAATAGTGATCCAAGGTTTTAGGGTCCCTTCCACACACGGGGACGGGGCAGAGATCATCAAACACAGGAGAGTGCCTTGTGATCGAGCATGCTTATGACTGACTGACAACGAATTTGTTAAAACTCTCCATAAAAGCAGAGATTAATCCTTGGAGGCAGGAATTTCACACACCAGAATTGCTTCCACGTTAAACCATCCATCGCCATAGGGCCATTAGAAGAAGAACCGAGGGCATTTGTAAGCACCTTGTAAGCAGGCGAACAAGTGAAAAACCCGCATTTGCTCTTCGTCCAAACCAGAAAGTCTTTAGCGTCAATACGCAGGGGCCACTAGTCCTACGACCCATTATTCCATAAAATAGCTACCAAGTTCCACTAATCCACTCTCCTTTCCTCGCTAACTAGGTCATGAGTGTATTCTACCATATAATACTCCGTCCCTATATGTACAAGTGAACTCCAAATTAGTTGAATGTAAGGCTGTATAACAAGTTGTAGAACAATGATAATGTGTTGTGCTAGTGATAAAATACTTAGGGTTTGTTGTGAAATATTGAATGGTTGTGGCTTGTGAGTTTCACATATCATTGATGGTGCATGATTTGGTAGCTCCCTATTGGAAGATAGCTCGAATGTTAGATTGACGAGGTCGACTGGTCGAGCTACAAGAAAATTGTCAGAGTACTCGGGGATGGGCACTTGGATGCTTAAGTTAGTGATGAGTGTGTTGAGAGAGCTACAAGGCAAGAAGGCAAGAGAGATGTGAATGCTAAATTGTGCGTATTTTCTTTGATCAATGGGATGCCTTTATATAGGCGCTGTGAGTGTGGTCGTAAGGCTACGTACAAGGGTCTCCTTGAAGGATGAAGGAAGGCTAAGGGCAAACGGTAGGCTAAAGGCTCTGATTGACAGAATGTTGTTATATCGTTATGAGTTAAGCCTACTTTTATAGAGAGAGATCCCGAGGTCCTGAAAGGAAGGGGCTAAAAGAGTTTGATTCCCATTTGGAAAGGGAATATTTGATTCGGTGTCAGTTGTTAGGGGGACACCACTAGGGTTTCACCACATGTCTTATGAGATCTCTACAGAACAAGGTTTCCTTTCATATGAGGATTCTCATAATGCACGTATGCTATTTCCTTTTGTGAGTCTCTTAAAATGACGTGGCATAGATGGAGTCAATATTAATCTCATGTCTCTTTTAATCCTACTGGATATCCTATCACAAATGACATTGGTCAACTATCGTGTTTATTCGCATGTCGTTGATCTGCGATGACTGTGATCTCATCGCAGGTTCGCGGTGACTTTGAGCTCATCGCAGGTTTGTGATGGCTTTGTGCTCATTGCAAACTTGCAATGACTTTGGGGATGTTGTTGTTATCGTGGCTGTGAGTCTATTGTAGGCCCATGGTGGCTTTGAGCTCATTACAAGTCTGTGCAAGCTTTGAGCTCAATGCAGTTTTGTGCCAAGTCGTGAACTTGTCTCGAGTGCCTCTATGGTATCGGTTTAGCACTTTCTATGTTATTGTGGTTGTGGTGATCAACATGTACCTACAGGTGCAGATCTCTGGAAGGACGTTGCTTACCGGCCCACTTTGTTCGGAGGTGGTTTCACACTCGGACTTGGTTTCATGTAAAGTGATAGAGCTTATTCGATTGCCTCCGAAACGGATGGGCAAGAGTTGGACCCGTCAGTGAGGCAATGTGATCCCAGATGATTCAGAAATAATGATCCACGTGTAATGGAAGTTGGCCACCACGTCATGCAGATTGCCAATTGGGTCTCAATCAGGTTGGCGGAGGCACGTCACCTCTTATGCCGACTTAATCCTATTAAAGTATCCACCGGTTGGCCTTGTCGAGGTGGTGCAGGACAGTTAAGACATGCGAGACGTGATTAGAGTTTATGAATTCGTTGACTACAAGACATTGAGATGTCATTAAATGATTCTGAGGCACCATGTATCATGATGCCACTAGAGTGACAAATCACCCTACATCAATAGCCAATCCAAGCATTTGGGTTAATACCATTGAATTCGCATCTTATGCAAGTAAAAACTCTGTACACATATCATCCATTGGTAAATGTTCCTAATGTTGAGACTGAATCAGCCCCCCACAACGTCCCACACCACATTTCTGAGTTCAAATCTATGCCCCACCCGGTTTCGCCCCACAAATGCCCTACACGCTCAATGTGCGCCAGCTGTCCCTTTAGACGGTTCTGCTAGTAGCCCCTTTCGTTACCCCCCACACGCTCAATGTCCGTTAGCCCCTTCTATTACCCCGCAAAAGTTTCAAACCATTTCATTCGAAAGACTAGGGTATCTCAAAGTTTCCTTCTCCTTCTTCGGCATCGGTGACCTACAACGACAACCGGTGGTACTCTCCAGCTCACCTTTTCACACATTTTTTATTTTTTATTTCTGATATTTTTGTTTTCTAGAAATTAGAGAAACCAACGATAGAGTTCTCTTCTCCTTCTCTGGTTATCCACAGGTTATACTTCATTCATTGGCAATTTTCTGAGTGATATCAATCCTTCAGACCATGTTGCCAAGTGGAAATTCAAGGTCATTTGGGGTTAATTTGGCTTAATTTGGCTCATTCCATGAAAGAAGCTAGCACTTTTTCGATCTCCCAGGGATGGACACAGGACTAGGCCAGAACATCAGACCCGAAAGAGACTGTTTAGGCCTCAAGGAAATCCTAATTTTGTGTCCATTTCCTCCAAAGGATGCTTGCGCCCATGGAATGACCAACCCAAAGTAAACTCTTTGGGATCCTTCTCAAGAGCCCCATGGAGAGAGAGAGTGAGAGAGAGAGAGAGATCTGAAAGTCATTGTTGACCAGCATTCCAACGGTGCAGAAAACATTGGAGAAGATGGATGTTACAATCTAAATCTCCATTACCAGAGAATAGGTTATGCCCTGCTTCAATTTCTTGTACATGAGCTTAATTAGAGGAGGCGTCAATTCATTAATGAGAGTTGCATTGACTATCATAGCGAAACCCATGTAATACTGTGTATTGTATTCATTAGCAGGGCGGTCAGAGCTTGCATGGAGGGCAATAACTATTGCACCCATGGTCAACAAAACAACTGAGTTTATGGAGTAAAACATGAACCTTTGCCCCAACTAGAAGGAATTCAAACACTACTGTGAAGATCAGCTGAGTGGAACCTATCAAACCACCGGTTGAGACGGGTAGACAGGACAAACCATAGCCATATAAGTAGTTGGCGAAGCCATTGATGAGGCCAAGAATTGTGTATGCAATAAATAGATAGGTATTCATGAAGACGAGCTTGGCATCTTTATCGCTTTTAACTCTGTCGCCGGTTTCTTTGATTTCTGGAAAATGAAAATATCAGAAAAAAAAGAAAAAAAGTGTGAAAAAGTGAACTTGAGAGTACCGCCAGTTGTCATTGTAGGTCGTCGGTGCCAAAGAAGGAGAAGAGAACTTTGAGATACCCTAGTCTTTCGAATGAAATGGTTTGAAACTTTTGGGGGGGTAACGGAAGGGGCTAATAGACGTCCCATTAGCCCCTGCACGTGCTTCTAGCAAAACTGTGTGAAGGGACAAGTGACGCACATTGAGCGTGTGGGGCATTTGTGGGGCGAAACTGGGTGGGACATAGATTTGAACTCTACATTTCTGCTGTGTATTGGGAATATCATCGTTCTTGATATTATCAACGAGAGATGTTTCCAATAAATGGCGGGATGTGCTGTGAAACGTTATTGGGGGCAGTCTTGTAGGGGGCTGATTTAAAGAAGTGTGCAGAATTTTTGCTCCCAAGAAATCTCGTTAAATCGAAGGCCGGGATCTCTCCAATCAAAAAAACGTCTGCATAAAATAATCACACACCGGAAATAATTCACTATGAAATTTACATCCACGTACGGTAGATATTTTCGATGCTCGGAGTCGGATCCATAGATTTTTTCTTGAGGTTTTTACTATGGAAATTTTTTTGAAGAGATCCGGACTCCTAAGTCCTAACCAACATGGGCCAAACGCCAAACCCGTTACTCGCATCACATGTACTGGGTTAGCGTGGACTACCGTATCCACCAGTTCGTTGACTCATCACTCATTCACTAACTCGCTCACGAGGATCATGGGTTGGGAGTTGGGAGTGTACGGTACACCTTTGTACATCGGGTTTGGTGTACTAACAGGCGTCATCTGCACAGAGACGCTGCAAATCACTTAATCTGACCAGGTTTTGGCGGTTTCAGCACCTCTCTCTCTCTCTCTCTCTCTCTCACTTAAACGCAACTACAGAACCGGAATGAAAGGAGAATGATCTGGAATATTTGCACTAATGTTTTCGAAGCAGAAACCGAAGTAGAGGAGAGCAACCGCAACTGAGATAAAAGAGAGAGAGAGACATGGACGGGGACGAGATAGGTATAGTTCTGTCTCGAGCTTCTGAACTTCGAGCGAAGATTAACAACTGCATCGACAAAGTCACGAGGCACGACAAAGACTACCAAGGAGAAAATGGTTTCCATTCGCTCGACGATGGTGGTGAAGCAGACGATGAAGCTGAGAGCCTTTTAAACATTCGCGACGCACTTGAATCGCTCGAGGAGCAGCTTTCATCCTTACAGGTCCGTCCTTTTTCTTCGACATCCTACGCCATTTCATTTTCTTCTTGCTTTCCCTTCTCTTTCCCCCTTCTATTTCTTTATATTTGATACGATAATTAGTCCCGGGAATTTATTTCTACCTTTAGCTTCTGTGGTTGTTCGTTGATAAATTGTTTGATGGGTATGCTTGCGTATTCTTTGATTCTTAACGAATGACTTTCTCTACATCTATTTTCTTAAATTAGGGTTTTTGATTTTGAACATGCTTTTCATCTTTGAATGTTCATTGTATCCAGAAGTCTAAATAGATTAACGTAGAGACCTGTACATGCGTTAGGCAGTCCTTAATTTCGACATGTTTTTCCTTTTTTCGCTAAAACATACTCATGACTTGACTCTTGAGATATTCAATTGGATGCTAAATTTAGTGCCTGAGAAGGATAATTTGTAAGAAAAATCTCGTAGGGGCTTTTTATTTTCTTTTTCAACTGGTATGATAAAGCAATTAAACAAATTTCTTTTTAACCTGTTTTCTTTGTACCCTCTTTATCCAGATAGTCTTTACATTTTATTTTCAAATCTGCTAGGCCTTTTTTATTCATTTCTTTTTAAATCTAGCAAGTTTTTCATCTCAAAATAAGGTTCCCATTAAAGTAATTTTTTTTTATAATTAGGTTCTGATTAAATAATTCCTTAAAATCTCATTGTAACTACTTTTTTTTTTTTTTTCTGGTAAACAAAATCTCATGATACTTAAGCTTGTCCAAGTATCATAATACTGATGAGAACAACTTGTTGTCTGATGCAATTTGGTAGCCCATAAATTCCGGTGTAGAATATGACATCTCCTATTGCTGGAATCTGGAAATGAAGCGCACAAACGTGTAGATATGCCCATGTTCTTAACCTCTTATTACTAGCTCTATGTTTCTTCAAGGTTATTCTTTGAAATTTGGAAATCTCATAATCTGATTCTGGTTTCAAGGAGGATCAGAATAACATATAGGTGCAATTTTGTTACTGTCTAAACATAGAATATATAGGAAACGTTAATGAAAAGAAAGAGAAGAAATAGGAAGGTTAAATTAAGGAAACAAAAAGATAAATAGGAAGGTTGAGAATAAATAGGATTTTCTTGAATGGGTATTGGACAGAAAATCAGAAGAGGAGAGGAAATAGGAGTAAAAAAGATGATGTCAGTATTCTTAATGCTGTAAGGTGATGATCAGTTGTTTTGGCCTTCCTAATTGATGAACGATGTCATGATTAGTCATTGCCTAGGTGATAACTCGTTAACCCCAAAAATGATAAGTTCTAAATTTAAGATACTAATGCAAACTCATATAGATAGTTAATAACTTAATATAGAACATTTAATTTACAATGTTTTTGTTTTGAAAGCATAAAAAGGAAGACTGAATAGGCTCAAATAAGGTGCCATTGCTCAGTGCAATGGTAAAATCTCTGGCTGATAAGTGTGAAAATGTTGGTTGGAGTTTGAAAGTGGCTATTTTGTGCAAAAAATACCAAAAGTTAGGTCTGTTACCAGCGCACCCATCCCAAGATTGGGCAATGGCCCTTTTGAATGGAAAGTTCATTTCAGGGTTCTCGTTGTTGATGTCTAAAGCAGCATTTCCCAAGTATCTTCAAGCGTTCTAGTGGTGGACAGTTGTCCTTCCAATGCCATTTATTGTTACAGAAGTAGGGAACGTGACAGTTCAGATAATAGGGTATTTATAGCATTGATCCAGAATTGTGATTCACTGGCTCCCAGAATGCATCCTTCAGATCTTGTTCTATTGCTGTTGCAAAAGTTCTGTCTTGTGTCTCAACTCAAGAAAGTGTTATCCAAAAGACAGAACGGGACTTACGAAAGTGTCATCCAAAATGTTAGGAGTCAACTCAATAAAGTGTTATTCCCTTTTGCTCTTTTCTGTTATTGGTTCAGGAATTTAATTGAAGATGAGATGATACTTTTGATTACTTGTATTGCTTTAGCTCCATTGTTTTGTCTTTCACTAGGAGTTCACAAGAGCTTTGTTGTTATATTTTTTTGAAGCAGGTAAAGTATTGAATTGTATTAAAGTAAAAGAGTAGCTGCCCATACACAATGAGAGCCTGTGCAATAGGAATATACAGAAAACTGGTAACCCGTTGAATGGGTTAGGTGGGTTAATGGTTCAACCATCAAGGTCAACAAGTCATTGACTGAATCAGTGTTTTTTAATAATATAGTGGGATACTACTGATCAAACTATATATATATATGTATATATATATATATAGTGGGATACTGATAAAAAAATAATATGGTGGGATAGAGGTTGACCCAAACTGGGATTGTGACCAGGTTAGTAGGTCACCAATCTAACCAGCTGGGTCAATGACTGGTTGAAAACACTGAAAAGAAGTGATTTGTTTTTTTTTTTTTTTGATAATTGAAATGTGATTTTATTAATCAAGAAATGAGAGCAATTATAGGCATCCCAAGGAGAGGCACGAGGTGCAACCTCTCTTTAAAAGAAAATTACAGAAGAAACAGTAGTGAATAGATTACAAAGCAGCCCAGTATAAATTTTCCCTATTAACCCCTTATTTGGCAAGACAATCAGCCAAAGCATTCGCTGACCTTCCCAGCCAGTGTAGGGTAATACTTATGTTTCTAGTTAGCCACTTAGCTTTCTTTAGAAGGTTCCTGTAGCACCAAACCATTGAGTCTGCATCTGCCAGTCACCCCACAACAACTTTAGAATCTCCTTCAAGTATTAGATTATCCACACCAAGCTGATGTGCAGTTTGAATACCTTGTAGGGCCGCTAACAGTTCAGCGAATAGAGGGTCCTGGGTTACCCTGACTACTTCCATTAAAGTTCATCTTTACACTTCCTTCAGGAGGAGGAACCCAATTTGCAATTACCCTATCTTTCCTGGAAGAGCAAGCTGCTACAGCTGAGCATCTCCTCCAAAGGTCATCAAAGGGAAAGGATTGGAAGGAGTCCATAGTTTTCAACCAAAGTATTGTTCTTGTCAAAATGCAGTCCTTGCCATTGAGGAGGCTTCTTTCTTTTTCTTGAAAAATTCTTGCATTCCTCTCTTCCTAAATTGTCCAGACTCTAGAGAGAAGCTGCTCTAATGCATTTCCACATGCTCCACCCTCTTTTAGTGGGCCATACAAAGAAAGAAGGTTTAAACAGTAGACAAACATTTGCAAGTAAGTTCCACTTGCACCCAAACAAGACAAAAATCCAATTCCAAATATCTGAAGCAAAAGGGTAGGATATTAGTAAGTGGAAACAATCCTCACCATTAGCTTTGCAAAGACTACACCATTTAGGAGACAAACACATGAAAGGCCTTTTTTCTTCTGCAAACAGTCCAAAGTATTGGTTTTTCCATGAAACACTTCCCAACAGGTGATTTGTTGTAATTGAAGTGTCCAGAAGAACATAGTAGCTCCAACAGGTGATAAAATGAAGGTAAGTAGATTAAGATGGTTTGGGCATGTGCAGAGAAGACCATCTATAACACTAGTAAGAAGTGATCTATTACAAGTTGAAGGATCATTATGAAAGGGGGGGGGCAGAAGAGCTGGGGAAGGCCAAAACAGACATGGGTTCAAGTAGTGAGAAATGATTTAAGGGTCTATGAATTAACAATGGGTAGTATACAGAATGGAAAGACAGAACAGGATTCATGTAGCAGATTCCATATGGTTGGGACAAGGCTCAGATGATGATGATGATTAATGAAAGCCAATCTCATTGGGTTAATTGAGCATTTGAGCTTTCAGGGCTGACCTATATGCATCCATTAACTAGTTCATCCTGCTACAAATTTTGAAGTATTGGTACTGGGGAGTTCTCGATCAAATTTTGCATCCAATGTATGTGGACAGTAGAACAGGATTTAGCATTCTGTGGGTGTGTAGGAACTTTGTCTAGGAAGTGTTGTGACCTTGTAGACCCAAATCATTTGGATTCCGGTTTAGAGGTGAAAGGCTTCAGGGTTAGATGGAGGCTAATGCATTCTATGGGGTATGTGTGGGTTGATGTGGAAGGTAACTTGCAGGTTCTCATGAAGTGGGTGATGGTTCTAATGACTCTTGGAATCAGCATCATTTATTGAGGGAGTCAGCTATACTAGTCATTGGGGGACTTATCACCCTAGGTAGCATTTACAGTTATAAATATTTTTTTTAGAAAGGAAAGTAACTTTATTAGAAAATAGATCAAGAGATTACAACAGCAGCCCCTAAAGAGGAGCTGAATAAACAAGATCCATAGCTCTAGACCACACTACAATTCTAACAGACTTCTGGTCCTCAGCTGGGACTGAGAACCGAGGTCTGGAGACCTTTTGTAGCTGCAATCCAAGAGACCAGTTTACCAAAAGTATAAGAAATTAGACAGTCTGGATCCTTGATACTATTCTGGAAAATCCTTCTATTCCTTTCTGCCCAGATAGTGCTAACCACTGCTGCAGGAATAGCCAACCAAACACTTTTTGCCAGCTTGGACAAACCTTGGAGCTCCCAACTCCATAACAGGTCCAACACAGAATTCAACATGACCCAAGATAAGCCCGAGGAAGGTAAAAAATGCCCCAAAATAGCAGAGGAGACAGAGCAATGGATGAAAAGGCGGTTGCTATCCTCTTCTAGTTGGCCACACATCACACACAGCAGGTCTTGAATCTGTAATCCTCTTCTTATCGGGCTGCTTTTCGTTAGGCACCTATCCAGTACTGCTTCCCAGACCAAAGCATTTACTTTGGATGGGGATATTGGATTCCAAATTTTAGCAGCAGGAACTTCAACTTGATTTCTTTCTGTTAAAAACCTTGCAAAGGCCTTAACAGTAAAAAACCCATCTGCACTGCTATTCCAGATCCAAGTGTCATCTGCCAACAGATCCAGACTGCCTAGACAGCAGCTCCAACAGCTCTACCACTTGATCAATTTCCCAATCTTGAAATGGTCTTCCAAAGGAAGGGCTCCAGGAGACGATATTATCCCTCACTTC